AAAATTAACAGTGGTAGGGCGGGGCCACAATGGGGGATCAAAAATTTTACATAGAAATATAAAGGAAAAATAGTTATCTTAAAAAAATCTGCTGTTCAAGGACAGTAGAGCCATTGTTATTTTGATAAGAAAGCATCTTTAGGTAGTTTAAAAGTCAAGTCCCCTCTCAATGTAAACTTTTTACTACTAAACTGATCTGTGCCTTTTCTTAACCTTCCTTTATGTTGTTCTAACAACCTCGTTTAAAAGATTTACTGTGAAAATAGTAAATACACATTTAAAAATTATTTTTTTTAATAATTTGTAGGAAACAACAGTATATCACTCACTGAAAGACATGAAAACAACCAAAGAGAAGGAAACGGCTGATGCTTACCAATTTGTGCATTCTGCTATTGGCTTATTTCAACAACGATTATCATTTAAGTCGCTTTCAAGTGTCGCAAAAGTTCGCTGGGCGATACAGATAGCTAGCAAGTATGTTTACGAATGCATGGTTGAAAATGTAATTACTGCCAGAGAAATAGTTCCACTTTTGGGAGCAATTAAAGACGTTTGTGACAAAGAAGATGGGAAAAGAAACATCAGGTAAAATGACAGACAAATCGCTTGATTTGAACAGATTCATTCAAGTTCATATATTAGGGGTCACTGGGAAATGGAGTGAAATGGTTTAAATTAAATTTGTCTAGGGTTTGATTTAAGAGAGAATAGAGAAACATCAGTTAAAAGTTTGATGAGTGATCAACATCAAGTGGGTCATTGATAATTTGGTGATAATTATCTGTTATAGATACTTTTTTGATTTAAAATATTAAAGATTTGTTTTTTTTTTCTAGTTTTTCTATGCATGCGCAAAAATATATGAATTTGTTTTTTTCTAAATTAAGCTTCCTTTTTTTTAGATACCTTTTTATTCAGGAGCTATGTAAAACTTATGGAGAGACTGCATTTCATGACATCATATCAGAAAGTAAAAAGGGATCGTCCCCGCTTATCCTGTCCTGGCTAGATGTTGGTATAACAGGGGTAAATATATATTCTTGTATCCTTTCTTTTACCTTTTTACATGTTGAAATGAATACATGTAGTCTATCTGTATCATGATTTTTCATATTTGATCAACATTATGATTATATGTGGGAGACATTTTGCTTTTCAAAGTTGATATTTGATATCAATAGCTATGTAAATGTAAATGACATAAAATGTCATGTAAATGTGATAACGTACACAAATGTTGGAATATACCATTAATATGAATGAAAAATCATTATCTGAAAAAGCATTTTAACAGCTGGCACATATTTCAAGCATTGTTATTTTACAAATTCGCAGGAAAGAAATACCCCTGACAGTTATATTGTCACTGTGCCTAGGTACAGTGATATAAAGAAAGCTCTTCAATCAGATATTTTGCCTGATCAGAGTGAAAAGGAAACACTGGAGAATGTCAGCAAGTTACTGGATGTAAGTTACATTTACAAGGATAAACAAAGTATCCATAGAATATCAAAAATTTAAATTTAATTGTTCCTCATTTTAAATAATTTGCATTAATATAAGTTGTATGATGTCATGAATGCTTTGTTAGTAGTTAAGGGAAACTTTAAGCGTACTGTGCAACAATATATTCAAGAAGTGGTGTGAATCAGATATGGATACTCAAAAATTCTAAAGAGCTTTTAGACAATTTGAAATCACAAGATTTTACCAAAATCAACACCTTAAAGACTCATGACTTTTCAACTTTATACACAACCATTCCCCACGATAAATTAAAGTCAAGGCTTTTTGATATTGACAGCTGCTTTTTCAATAAAAATGGAACTCGTAAATTTACTTACCTGGTCATTGGTCATTTGCAAAACTATTTTGTTAAAAAACATTCTGATTGCACAAACAAGTACTCTGAAGTTGACATAAAAAGATGCTTGAGTTTCTGATTGACTGATTGACAATATCTATGTGGTTTTTGGTGACCAAGTTTTCCAACAACCGTTTGGAATTCACATGGGTACCAATTGCGCTCCGTTATTAGCAGACCTATTTTTGTATTCATATGAAGCAGAATTTGTGCAAAATCTTATGCGTGACAAGAAGAAAACACTTGCTGTGGCCTTCTACTCAACATTTAGATATATTGACGACGTATTGTCAATTAACAATGGTAAGTCCCATTTCTATGTCGATACAATATATCCTGGTGATCTTGAGGTAAAAGATACCACAAAGTCTGACGACACATGATCTGCTTCATACTTGGATATTTTACTTGAAATAGACGTTAAAGGTACATGTAATCTAACAACCAAGCTCTATGATAAACGTGATGACTTTAACTTCATCACGTCACATCGCACATTTAGTTAAAACATCATTTACTTTGTTATCTTACTTGGATGATACCGTCGTATCAGGGGTTCTAGTGCTAGGACGGGACTATATAGAATATATAATGAAAATGCATCATTTCTTTGACAATCTTCTCTTCTCCTGGATATTAAACAAACAAGTACTTAGGTATTATAAGCAAGAAAGTCTCTTCCACAAATGTGAATTTCATGGCCCGGTGTCAGGGGTTCTGCAGATAGGGTGGGGATCTATTAATTATGAATAGTGAAAATACATTAATTCTTTAAAACCCTTCTCCTCTGCTCCTCGGTATTAAATTAAGTACATTGTACATAGTTATGCTGAATAAGGCTGCCTTTTCCAAAATTGTTGATTTTATGGCCCCTGTGTCGGGGAGTTCAGGTGTTAGGGCGGGGCTCTATTTATTATATAGTGAAAATGCATAAATTATTAAAATGTCTTAATCAGACGTAGTCACGATAAAACTTGGTCAATACTTTCTCATCCGAAGTACCGGTCTCCAAGTCCCACAGTGGGATTTGAAGCGGATGTAAGGATCAAGGATCAACCTCTTACTCCGCGACAATAGACCAAGCACTCTACCACTGCGTCACGAATGCTGAAGTAAGATAGTGATTGGAGTTTTCAGCAAACAGTATAATTTTTGTAATATAAAAGGTCAGAGGTCCAATTCCATGTTTGGTGGTAGTGGTCAAAGTTGAGAAAATCATGGAACGCAGGTGAATGCAATGAATAATCATATTAATTTGATCCAAATTTCTTTTTAGGCGCACAGTACTACCGATTTCATTTGTTTTGGGCTCGCTTTGTACAGACTTGTAACATTTACATATCTTCATTTCAATTCCATTGGAAATCTATCTGAGCAGGTAAAATAGAGTTATATTTTTAGAAAATATTTTTCTGCTAATGTGAATATTGCTGAAAGAATCAAGAAATCTTCAGAAAGTATAAATCTTCAGAAAGTATCAAAAATATTAATTGAAAGTAAAACGTTGATATGTAAATTTAATTTTGATAGGTACTTGAGAGTTTGAAAGAGAGAATAGACAGGACTGTGAAGCTGAAAAACAGGGATAAGTTTACTGCTGTAAGTGTTAATTGCTACTGATTTATTAACGATTGTGTATCTGTAAAGAGACTCCTATATTTTTGTTTGACATAAGATGTCACAGTATAACAGTCTGTCCGGACATGCCTCTAGACTCATTAAATATTTAATAGTTTTCAAAATCAAAATTCAAAATATAAAAGTGTAAATAAATGAGGTTTAGTAGCATATTTGTGGTGTTAGAGCTTTTTTGGTTCTTTCATTGCTATTAAGTCCTTTCTATGCCCTGGGGAAAATTTTTGCAAATGTTTTCGTGTCGTTGGTACTTTCTAGTGATTAGATTTACTCCGTTCATTCCGTAGGTTGTTGAATAAAAACAATACATAATTATATCCCGTATTTTATCCTTGCAAAAAAAGAGTGTTTAGACTCAAGGAGAAATGAATGGAGCTTTTTTTAATTTACCGATTCAATTTTTATTGACATGATCTTAGTTGTTAGGACTCTTTGGAGTGAAAAGTTTAAAAATATATGGTCTGAACTCAGTCAGGTTTCTTGTTTATTTTGTAGGAAGTGCTCCTAAAGATAGCACGAAACAACGTTGCTGATTACATTAATATTCAGCCAGGAGATGATATGCAAAAACAGAACAAAAAATGCCTGCTGATGCATGTTTTGTTGACCTTTTATTTATTGCCACATGAATGCGGTCTTCCCAAGCCACTTATTAGCATTGCACAATGTCGCACGCTTCTACCTGTAAGTTCAGGAGTTTTGCAAAAGATTATCTGCAGATGAATATATTATATATTCATTTACTTATATATTTTGCTGGACACAACAACCAAAATAAGAAAAACTGTTTGCCCTGTTTTGGATATTTAACCCTATGGTAAAATTAAAGAATACACATTTCCAAGTTCGTGATCCTAGAAAGAAATAAGTTACTGATGACTTTCTATTTTCCTCACTAATCTATTAATACTCTTCTTTTCCTGGTTATCTAGTGAAGAAATTTCGTATGATTATTAGAAGCCCTCTAGAAAAATTGTAAAAATAGTGCCTATCGTCTCAGACCTCAAGTATTGCTTAGCTGAAAATATATTGATTATGTATTTGATATACAACTAAATCAATAACGTCTTTCAAAATCTGTATTTCAAACAAACTATTCACTTAACATTATTTACCTCTGAGCCCTTTATCATAATGTAATCAGGTGTGTGCCCAGAACCTAGCCATAGGGGGCAAAAAACTTAGCAGAGCTCACTTTTGACCTCAGTCTCACTTTTACCAAAGAAATATATAGTGGAAAAGTGAGACTGAGATCAAAAGTGAGCTCTGCTACGTTTTATGTCCCCCCAGGCGGGGTCGATCTTCTATAAATCTTACGAACTGTAACTGTTAGTATAATTTCATATGGGTCGTTCTTTCCAAGTGGGGGAACATGCATCGTTCATTCTGAGATACACCTAATACACATTAAATAATCAAGGGCCTTGGACCCTTTGTGTCTCTATAATAAGGAGATCTCAACCTGTAGTTTTTAAATATGTAGATTTATCTTCCAACGATGCCAGGTGGGATTTCTATTCGCGATGAGCTCGAAAAGATAAAGGAATCCAACTGGTATACACCAAAGGCTTACAGTAAGTAGTATAGACGATGGATAATCAATTTTATTCAGTACAATATGTAAATTGATTACCTTTTCAATGCTGGTAATGTTTTATTTTGTAGTATGTCCTAACAATCACATATACTTCGTAGGAGAAGTAAGTAAGCCGCGTAGAATTTAAAAATCCGCAACTTTCTACAAAGTCTTTCAACAAATTTTTATTTTGTTAAGTATTTTCCTTTTAATACAAAAAGATAAGTTTTTTAAAGTTTGGTTTTAAAGTTTGGTTTACATGGTTTTTTGTTATTTAAGTGTGGCCAAACAATGCAAAGATCAAAATGTCCAACATGCAGGTGTAACATTGGGGGTGAACGTCATAAAGCAGATGAAGGAAACCGTCCCCTTACTGATCAGTATGTTTTTATTTCGTAGAAAACAATATGGAGTTTATCTGATTTAAGTTTGACCCCGGTCAATGTTTTCATATGATAACTTTACAAGACAAACTCGGTCTTTAAAAGAAGGGTAAATGCCATTGACATATTAAGATTGAACATTGAACTATGATATCTTAAAAAATCAATTTCAAATTTCTATAGTACTGACAAATATGTATGTATATTATACATGTATATATGTATGATACACAGGTGTATCAAAATCTCGTTCAAAGTCAACATTTCGCATTAAACATATTTTGTAGGCAGATCTGAATGGTCGTTAAGACAAACATTGACTGGCATTATCCATATAAATTAATGGACCATTATTTTCAACTCATTTGTTTATGTACATCGCGTTTACCTGATCAAGACGAAGGACTTTTAACTAGTAGGCTACTCCTGTACATGTCGACTTGTTTTACTAGTCGACAGGGAATGCATACTCATTTTTATCTAGGTGTTTACAGATATATCAGCTGCCTGCTTTCATATTTTTATATTGGTTGTAAGATTTGAGCACGATAAATGCTCTTATCTTAATATCAAGTCATCCCAAATTAATGAGTGAAATTTTTGGAGATAAAGAACAGTATTTTAACTCAAAAGTCCATAAAATAATACAAAACACAGATCTCCTAAATATCAGAGATAGGATCAGGTGCCATAGAGCATAACCTGCTGACCGGTCACAGCCGCCGTGTGCTCCTTGTCATGATCAGGAAATAACAGAAAAATCCGTCGTCAATTCAGTGTGTTAAAAAATGGACTAACAAGGAGAAAAAGTTAAAATTAAGAAATAGAACGACCTGTAGAATATAAATAATTAAAAGATACAATTTATAAAATTAGCATTAATCCCTTTAATACAGTAAATTGAAAATTGTTGAAAGCATGGGTTTCATTTGGAAATTAAAGTTATATGAATGTCACAAAAAGAAAAGTGCCTCAGATGAGCAGTGTGACCTTTTTGAGTCTTATGTTTACTTAGAACGGACTCAGTTCCAATGATTTCGTAGTTTGAAATGTACTTGTAAACAAATAATATTTTACAGAGAAATCGACGAATGGGAAGCACAGGACAAAGGCCACAACATAGGTAAAGCAGGAAGCGAGCGTACTCATCCAGAAAGACAGCTCACGTTTGTATCAAGTGCGATACTAAGGTTCTTCCTACACGCGGCAATGCTGTTTGGATGCAAAAGAAATAGAAAGGTAATTTTTGCAATGTCCGAGAATAATTAATATGTGCAGCGAAAAAATTTACAAATTTATTCATACCTTTTGTGAAAATGACTTCTGAAGCTTTCTACATAGGAAATTGAAAGTTTAGTGCGAGGAGGGGCAGAAAATATTGAAGACTTCCTAATGCAACACATAAACGCTGATTTATCCAGAATACAAAAAGAGCTTGATCTTTCCCAAGAAGATACGTACTTGCTTTTACACTGCATGACCCGAAGAATAGCAGAAAATATAAATAGTAGGTGAAAAAAATACTTATGCTGTATTTTAATAAGAAATAAAATAAATGTGTTTTAATTTTTAGTTTCTTTTTATTTCATCTTCAATATTGATATTTTTGCCTGTTTTTAGGTGAAATTTTAGCAAAAACAGTTTATTGGTTACAATGGATACAAAACGCAGAATTTAAAAAATGTATTAATTTCTTTGTATCTTAGCATACTCTACCAACATGCAAAGTTTGAAAAACATCTGAAACCCCCATGTATCACCCTCTGCATGAATTTCACACGGAGCCCTACTTAATTAATATCAATAAAGCTTTTGTTTGATTAACTAGGATGGCCAACGTCATAAAAAGGCTACTTTTCAACTTGGTCCTGCATATAACAAGAAGAGAGACATATTAGTAAAACACACATGAAAAGTGCTACTATTTGTTCAATGGACTTTTTTGAGATTGATTATACTGTTTGTTTTCTTCATTTTTTTTTTGTATTTAAACTTGATAAATAATTAGATGGTACTTGTTTTTTTATAACTATAATGTTTATAATCATCCGTACAGAATCTTATTTTAATAGTTCAACATTTTATTTAATTTTTTATCGGTTCTTGGATTACTCCATGTGGTGCAAGAATGTGTAAACATTGAAAAATAGTAGTGTTAAAAAAATTCAAATGTACGCTTTGTTTGACATGGAATGCATTATTGGAATAAAAATATGTAGAATCAGTTAAGCTTCGCAAACCTTCCACTCTTGTTTTTTTATTTACTTACCTGATAACAATGATCATTATTCTTTCAGGTAAATCGCATCCAGTTTTGGATTTGAACACAAAAGAAACAAGAGGGCAGTGGGAGAACATTTTCTGTGAGACAGTTATTACACCAGTAACGCATGTAAGTCTAAACATGAAATTTTAAAATATATCATCCATCTTTAGAAAAATGAATGTAACTTTATTTTTTTAATTTCTAATAGTCGGCAGTCATAGGCAGTTAAATAACTGAAATACTCAGGTGATGAGTAATATCATTGAACTCATATATATATATATATATATATATATATATATATATAATTTTAAAAAAATCAAATTTTTAGACGACCTCTCCGTTCATCAAGTCAAAGAAAAGATTTAACAAGGACGTGTTTAAATCTAGAGTTATGTCATTAAAACACATCATTTTTAGAAAACTGCCTCTTGTGCAATTCCAAATGAAACATGCTTAGAACTTAAAATGAAATGATAAAACTGACAAAACAAACAGATCTTTGAGAACTACAAAGGTGGGATCAGGTGGGTTTTCTTTTTATTGGACTGATGCAAGATAAGTTGGTGATGCAGATTACACTAGCTTTAGTAATTTTAGTTTCTTATGATGTTGATTGAACATCCTAACAATAAGCATTGAATGAGAATGGAATTCTATATTACTAGCTTATTTACAAGTTTTTAGCAAAAAATGTTTTCATTCTCTTTATTAACTCGCTTTTATTGAAAACAACCTTTCTAATTAAAATATTGATTTGTGTTTGTGTTATTATTTTACATTCCACATTGTCTTGTAATGGGCAACATACAGGTTTTTGATGGATTTGTTTGACACACGATAGCTAATTCTGATAAACGATTATGCGGGTAATGCTCTAAAAAATATGTGAATGAATTAATAATGCTTATAAAAGCTGTTTTACCTGTCTATTGTTTTCAGGCTGGAGGACAACTAGTTGAAAACCTGAAAATAGAGTTGGTTTCTAATACGACAGGTAACTTTATGTTGAAGACTCCATCTCTTATTTTCAGCTCTAACGCCACTCTCCCACATGAACTTTGCCATTCAAAGCACAGGATGTATACTTAGAATTAAAACTTAAATCCTAGAAGCTTTGTTATCAGGCTGATGGATAAATTATGAAAAATGCTCTAATATTTTTAAATATGAACACTTTTTCATTGAATTTTCACATCCACTTTCAGATGAACATCATCTATTGCAAACAATTTTAAGAGAGGAAGTAGATGTGAGTGAAGTCACTCCTGAAAACCTCATTTCAAGTCCAGCCCTCTGGAAATACTACAGACCTACATCCTTCAGGACTTTCCGTGTTCAGTTTGAAGCATGGAGAAAGGGGACAAAAAGATGTGCCGTTCTTGATCTTTACTTGAAAATGGTACTCTCTCTCTCTCCCTCTCTATCTCTCTCTCTCACACACACACACACCCTCACACCCTCACACTCACATCCAAACCCAATATCTTCAGGTATCTTGATTCTCTCTTTTCAGTGTCACGAACTCCAAGTACTGAGATACCTACCAGATATTATTCATCTGCAAAATATGCTTCTTGGACAATTAAGCAGAAGAGTAGACTCTGAGTACTTGAAGAAAACGACAATACGAAAATATATAGATTCAATACCAAACGGTAATTTTCACTTAACGATATTATTTTTGCAATTCACTGGCAAAATTATTGTAACTCCATTTTCTAAAGTCCTTATTTATACAATTCTTCACAAGTCTAAACGACTTTTCCACCAGAGCATATATCTAAGTTGTCATATTGGTTAATTTTCACTCTTAGCTTGTGTCTGTGAATATATCTTTTCAGTATATGTACAATGAAAGTTCACTTATGAATAGATACAATATATTATGGCATTTTTTTTATATAGAACGTTTTTTTGTAATTCTGGTAACGGTTATTTTATTCTTTAGATGATGGTAAAATTGAGCAGGGTGTTAAATCCTTTCTGCAAGCTTGGTCAGAAATCAGACTGCATGTAAAAGAATACAGTAAGTATCAAATTATTTTTTAATCAATTTTAGCAAAGTATATGTGCTATGCTAAAGATTGTGATGTAAGAAGTGCGAACGATAGTATTGTTCTCCCGCCTACCTCCAAGTCAATTTTCAAAAGTTACCATATTCGAAGAATTTTTGATATTTTTTTATAGATAAATATATGGATTTTCATAAAACATTACTTATTCGGGAAAACAAAGAGAGATAACTTTAAAGTTTGGGTAAAACTTGTGTTTTTCACTATAGAAATCAACGGAAAATGGAAAATATTTTTAAAACATCCCCCCCCCCCTGTGTCACAAAAATTCTTTTTAACGGGTAATATGGAAAGTTATTTCACAAATTCATACCAAAGCTTTTTGTGTGACATGGGGGGGGGCATATGTTTATTGACAAAAAACGATAAAAATGCTAATTTTCCACCAATTTCAAAGCGATTTACAACTAAAACATATTTTATTAATATATTTATGTTTCACTTATTTGCCTAAAACATAACAAAAGATACAAGGAACATTTAATCATATCCAAGACTATTTCAAAATATGGTGATGCTTGAAAACTCCGATTTCAATGGAAAATATCGTCTACTCCCCTTTTGTCAAGAGCTGGAATAATGGATAATATACTGTTTAGCGCTGGTATTAAGACAATTCATCAATTACCATTGAACTGTTCTTTGTATTAAACAAAGATTTTATGGCCAAATTGCTATTTATATTAAATTAAATGGTTCCAAAATGTAGGCGGGAATCGAGAGTTAGCGTGCGTATTTCTTTGAGTAATCATTTGAAAAAAATGAAGCGAAACGTTTAAAATATTTAGAATGTTTAGATTAATTAGACTGGTGTTGTGGATACATTGTATCTTATGAGCTATAATTTCTGATACTTTGAACACTTAAATGGGGGGGGGGATATGTTTAAAAAGTTTAGTTTGAGTAAATTGAAGGGCAACAATAAATCTTGAAACGTTCTTTGTCTAAGAAAATTCTACATTGAACAATAGATAATGCATCGGATAGGATGTAATTCAAATATTCTTTATACATATAGCATATTATTGTTGCGTTTGTCAATTCAAAGAACATCCAAAGAACATCGATATGTTTTAAAGAAACAACATAACTAATTGTATGAAAAGATAAATTTACTTACATGTATTTTTTGTGGAGGTTATATTGATATTTGAAAAAAAAATGTCTTCAAAGGATTTACAATTCGGAAAAATCAAAACGGACCGGTCACTACAGTTTTGTTTCCAAAAGAATATTGTGAGAAGAAATTGTCAGAAAAAGATGCGTTGGGCTTTCTTCTTCCGATGCATGATGGAATAGGAATGATCTCTTTCATCATGGTCCATTATATGATTGAACATCAAAATCAGTTTCTTCAGGAGTACTCCAGGATATCAGATACCAGGTGGCATTTTTTTTAACTTCCAATTTATTTCTCAGTATATATCAATATATTACTAACAGAGTTCGTAACATACTCTTTTCGACTTCCACAATGAAACTGTATGTACAAGTCATGTACCAGGCGCATTACATAGAATTGTCTTGCCACCCAAGTCTGCAGTATAAAGACGCAAAATTTTTACTTGTCTCACTTTTAGGCCCATAAAGGCTGTTCACGTTTTTTTTTTTGTTTTTTTTTGTTTTGTTTTGTTTTTTTGTTTTTAGCCGGACATTGCTGAAAGCAACGTCCTGGCTATAGGCATCATGATCGACTGTCTTACTATAAATAGCACAGTAAACAAAAAACCAAACAGCATCAAATAGACGCTTCCGATAAACAAATTAGTCCCATTGTAAGATGATATGCAAACAAATATTTTTAACATCCCAATCGTTGGAAAAGTTAATGACCAATATTTATGCTTGAGAATTATACTAAAAGAGAAATTAGATATTTGCTTTATTGGGATAATCGTGTTATAACAATTTGTGCACATACGCTGCTGAATGCATTCTGTTAGCGAACTATTTTCAATGGCGCAGTCTTTTCGAAAAGTTGAAATTGTTGAGGAGTTTCATGTTTCATATCGTTTTTGTCGATGTTATGTTAGTGGTTATAATCTGTTTTGATTTTTAGCAAATTAATAGTATAGTGAATATTGGAATTTTAAGAATTAACATGCGTGCAGTCGCTTGACAATGTACATATATCAGTGTCTCTACATCTAGTTGGCGATTAAAGTACTTTTTGTTTGAAACTAAAAGAATGTCTTTAAAATGCACATCTGCATTACTTTAAGTATAATATTACAAGATTGAATTTTTAAATTATGGGGAAAAATGCTTATTGAATAGAAAATATGCGAGAATTTCTTGGAAATATAATTTATTGAATTTTTAAAATCATAACATATCTTTGGGTGTGGAGTGTTAATTTTAATTACTGGTAAATGAAATCCTACAAAATCTACCTGTTAAAAATCAATGGTCAAAAGGAAGAAAAAATTAAATGTGTTCTTATTTCGGATCAGACAATATACTCGAGCAATTAAAGCCCGGCTTTCAGTCAGTTCTTTTAGTACTTTGATTTGTTTTTGTTGGTTTTTTTTTTTTTTTTTGGAAAGCTTTATTGTGGAAGTAGTTAAAAATGTGTTACATTGTAAGAACACGCGGATTATAATATTTTGAGATGTACCATATTAATAATATATATTTTAAATATACCAGACAAACATTTTATTTATAAGGGTTTCAATTGGTAATTCATCAATGTTTTTTATTGAATGTATCATTTCTAGTTTAATTAATCGATTAATTTATAACACCCAGTTCTTACAAAATTATGCTTGTCTAATATGGAATATTTTTGGTTTCGGACAACCCTTATATTCGAAAAATTATCATGTCTGAGGAGGAATAATTCGGTCGAATTATTCAAACAATTTTGTATCTTGCATTGTAAAAAAAATTTTTAGATAATTTTTAAAAATTATATTTGTATATTTTGTTTATTTTATTTCCATAGCTTTGCAGCTTGTCCAAAAATTAGACCACATGCAGCTACCAAAAAAGATATAATTATATGTGAGGAAAAAAGAGACATTATGCCTTTGATTTTAGCTAACACTCACCATGATGTTCGAGAAAAAGAAAAACAAAAGAGATTTGATTTTGAATCATTTGAACGTCAGTTACAAGCTCGGTTTCTTAGTGACAAACCTGGGTTTGAAGAAAAGAAGGTATGCTATGTTACACTTGTTCTTAAAGAACTGTATCTCTCTGCCTGAAAAATTTCGGACAGATAAAGCAGAGGGGTACAGTTCTGCAGCTAAAACGATGTTATATGAAATTTTTCTTGGGGATATGAGTCTACATAGTCTTCACTCTTGCGTTGACTTTAAGCATCTTTATTTGGATACCCGAATTAAATTTTGATGAAGAAATCAAAACTTTTTTTTACCTAATGAACAGTTTAATTCTGCATATTCTATATATATTGTCAAATTACATTGAATGAAGCCTCAGTAAAATAATATATGTGCAATAATATCTCTTATTCATCAACGATATTTTGTCTATTTATTCAACAAATATTCATTGTAGCGTATCAAAGAAGTCCGGGTTGTTAACGACTACAAAACGGTTCAACTTTTACATACCTTTACTGAAAATCCTTTTAAACAAAATAAAAATCAACCTGCTAATTTTCCAAATAATTATCAACCTGTCCTGAGAGTATTTACAAGTATTTAGTTCAAAATTTAAATAAATGTTCAGAATCATAAATAAAACAAGAAGAAAAGGTGATCTTCTTCTCAAGGTTAAAAAAGAAAATGGGTCTTATCAATTTGCATGATAGTCTTCTCCAACGCCAAATTTTTCGGTTTGTTTTGAACAAAACAAAGTAAAAAATGTATCTTTTCCCTACAGAGAGTAAAAAGTGTTTACTTCCTATGTCATTATATCTTGAGACTCATAATCATCTTGTGTATACATGTGTTATACAGTTATTTATCTCAAGTGAACTTGGTGATATTTCATTTTAACAGATTAAAATTATGCGGTTTTCCACAGAAAGAACAGATATGAAGATGTTCGCAAGTTTGAGGAGTAAAATTGCTCAGGTTTGTTGTACATTTACATCAAGTTATCAAAATGTTCCTATGATTTGCTTATTGTTTAAAAGGTTTTGCAGACTTTTTCCTAGATGATATCTTTTTAGAATCTCATCTAGGATTTCTGGAATTTGGATTTCTGCACAAAGCCATATTCAGAAGGAGACTGGTCATAAAACAAATGCAATAGATTGATAACAAAACAAACGCACACTGGTTTGGTCTATGCGTGGCTCAAAGTGAAAATAATTTACTTATTTTAAGTAAAACTTTGAATCACGATAATAGTAACACAGTTCCTCCGATACTGCTGAATAAAAATTAATGATATATACAGTGTATTATCACATTCTTTATTACATGTTCGTAGTGTCATTGTGTACATATTTTATGTTCTCAATTGCAATTCTATGAAACTTCACCAATTCTTTATTATATATTTCACTATAGCACTCGTAGTGGCATTGTGCATCTTCTGTTATAAAAAGTTTTCATATGACGCGTTTTTTCTCCGATTTATTTCCCTTGGCCAGAATCATGATGGTCAACCTGGTAATTTTCCCTCCTTGTCTCACCAAATTTAAGACCATGTACCAGAAATATTTGGGGTAAATCTTTATGGAATATGGAATAAAATTTAAAACAAAGGAAGGTCTAACAAATGTCTATTTTTCAGAAAGCAATACTTCCCATCCCAAAATCGCCAGTAAATAAAAGTTAAAATTGATGGAATAATGACGGAATTTGACCATGTTGACCTCCAATATAGCTGCTTCTTGTTAATTTGGGCTTACTGAAAACCATCTATAGACCACGTGGCGTAGTGGATAGAGCGTATGTTCTAGAATCGCGAAATAAGGAGTTGATCCTTACGTAGCGGGTTGGAATCCCACTGTTGGACGTATAACCGATCCTTTGGATAAGACCGCATGAACCGAGGTCCCGTTTCGCAGTAGATGCTGGCAAGAAAAAGACCCCTCATTGCCTAATAGCCATATAAAGTGCCGTCAATCAATTAATGTTCTGTAATGTGTTTGTATGGACAAATATTAGGTCCCATCTATTATCCCCAACTCATCTTTTACCGCGGAATAGTCGCCCGCGTGGTGCAATGGTAAGAGTGTCTGCTCTAGAGTTGCAAAATAAGGAGTCGATCCTTACGTCGCGGGTTTGTATCCCATTGTGAGAATTGGACACCGGTCCTTTGAATGAGATCATCCACCGGCAAGTGGTGGCGTCTCCATATAAGTGAAAATTCTGGAGATGGGCGTTAAACAACATACAGTCAATCATTCAATCAAACAGTTAAAATCTCCCTCTAACGCATTTTAACAAATATGTTCTTCAGAAAGTACGTGGTAGAAATAGAGAAATGACAGATGGAAAGATAGGATCAATGTTAATATTTTACAGACTGATTGTATATTCCGAAATATTTCCATTTCCAATTGTTTTCCCTATGATAAACACTACGAAAGTGAATCTTGTTAATTTCTGTTGATTCTTGTTGATTCCTGTGGCATGTAAATTTCTCTATTGAAATATTACTGAAAGGTCAAATGTCAACCTGCATGTATATATCACTGGCGTATAAATACACTAAAGAAAAATAATTTTTTTTTATTGTTTACTAAGTAATCAGATATGATTTATCTTTTAACAAACAAAATAAACAATGAATCATCTTCGGATCAAAAGCAAGTCACTAGCGCAACGCTGTCCACTATCACCGAGGCCGAGAACTCCACTTCCGTAAACATGGTAAAAAGTCCATCTGAACCACGTGGAATTGCCACATAGATCTGTATTCCATCATCTGATACAGACATCGTCCCTCGGTCATTACTAATCGACTTCTTAAGCAACTCAACTTCCTCTGTCATTTTAACATCCACAAAAATCTTTTTCCTGACCATGCTGACCAACCTCCGTTTCATCAACTGTGACATTACATTCAATATGGCGGCGGAGAAGTGACCTAGGGCCTATACACGTGTTCGTGCTTCCGACAACCTAGATCTGTACCACATATATAATTAAAGTTAACAAAATTGCGTTGATCATAATTTAAAATTCTTTTGTTGTTTATTTTATAAATGTTGATATTTGATTACAGTATTTAAATTATCAATAAATTTGTTTCGTGTTTTTATGGGACTATTTTTTTATGGTAAGATTGGACGTCATGCGGCCTCGTGCATTTCAAATCTACTAAATAAGACGGTATTTTGATTTATTTTAAAACTGTTATTTCAAATGAAAATGGAAATGTAAGGAATCATTGCCTAGTTAGGAGACTTTGCCAGGGACATCCACAATAGTGGGAAACATGGGATAATTTTAGCATAACCCGTTAAGCAAATTATCCCATGTTTCCCACTATTGTTGATGCCCTGGTATAGTCTCCTAACTAGACAGTGATTCCTTAATTACATAAGTCATAAATATGGTCTTAGCGTATTCGTAAAAATGAAAATTCTCCATTTAAAAGGAAGTATGTAGATATATAATATATACCTACATTGTATGCCTAATGACATTATCGTACTATGTATATAATGTAGATAGCTGGCGATTAAGATTTGCATTTACATCTTATTTCCTCACGTTTCACCAGGTTCCTCTTAGTGAAGCACAGATGGCAATAGTGGAAAGTGAATACAATACTGAACCAGCAATCTGTTCTCTTCTGGATGGTTTGGACATAGTCATTCGTTTTTTGCAAGCAGTTGGTGGAGACCTCTCAGAGAAAATCTCCAACTATATTGTTAATACTCTTCGCTTCGAGAAAATTTCCTTGAGAAATCAGGTAAATGATAACTTTTAAAGTACTTAAAGAAACTGTTGATTTCATTTATGGTGAAATTTTAAGTGAGCTTTTCTGATCACATTTTGTCCGTACCCATCTGTCTGTTCATCCGTAAATCTTTATGATTTTCGACTTCTCCGAAAGAACCACATGGTCATTTTCTACCAAATTCGCTATAATTCAAATTTTGGTGAAGGGTATCCAAGTTTGTTCATATGAAAGGCGATGCCTCTTTTAATGTTAGATAGTAGATAATAAGTAAAAAAAAAATGAAAGCTTCTTTTAATTATATTCTTCTAAAGAACCAAGCTCTGTCGACAGTTTCAATGCATAATGTGAATTAAGATTTGGTCTAATTATGACTACCGGGTTAGGATTTTTCCACAATACAAGCGATATTAGTTTTACATAGAAATATCCGGAAAATATTTCAAAAACTTTCCAAGCACAGCATTGCAATGGTTATATATACCGGTAACAAGTCGATATTAACTACTAATGCTAGCATGGGTAAGAATTCCTTTATCTTTATCATTTTTATTTGACGTTTGAATTTTTGACACGCATTAATAAAAGACATGGATTTTCGAATCTTTTACTCCCGTACAATAATTCAGGTGTGTTTTAGGCTGTTCAGTTAGGGAAATGGCATAGACAGCTGAAAACAAGCGCAGAAAATAGAGCGAAACTTGAAAGGATTAAATAGCAAAGAGTTTAGGGATCCAGAATTAAAAATTTAATCCTGTACGCTGTATCTTTTTTACGTTTGAGTTATTCAGGACAAGATCTGTTCAATTCTCCCTTGATATTCGACCAGATCAGGGCCATTGAAATAACATATTGGGGTATAAAATTTGCATGGAAATTAAAAGTATACATTTCAATCTATACCTAATAATGTTGGCATCATAATTTGCCGCCTCAGATCATTTTCTTGTTAGTGATATAAATATTTCTCGCATTAAGTTCATGAACAAAAAGCTATTGGATGTAAAACATGTTATCTTGTGATTTTTGAAAATTTCCTCAGGTGTATCGATGCTGATTTGAATTACTTATTTTTATTTATCTGATAAAGTTATAGAGCATTTATTTTTAAGTCATTACAAATCTTTGTCAACTCTGTTACAGACTCAGCAGATATGTTGTTTAAAGCACTGTCAATGTCTGTGGCTTTTGTTGTCTATGAAAAGAGCTGAAAAGCAAGTTAAAATAAAAAAGGTAATATATGCATTATTCACCATAATTTATTTGATGATTCTTTGATAAAAATTAAGAACCTAGTATTTAAAATTCAGTAGAAATGATTCAAAGGTTTTGCTGAGTTTTTTCACAAAAATTATCAAATTATTTTATTTTCTACTGCAAACAAAATAAATAAATTTTAATTGAAATACCGGTATGATGGATGAAAGAAATGTTTTGGCAGCTTTTTTGATTGAACAGATGTATTTGTTCTTGTTTTTGTATCATGAGTATTAAGGATATAAGAAGATGATTGAAGATGAATTATAAATTTGTGATATTTTATGCGTTTGATTTCCTTTTTTTTTTTTTTCAAAATAAAAATGTTCAAATCCTACTTATAAGAAAATTTTAATGTCCGATCAAAACATTGTAATACTACCAGGGTCCTTTTCATACTATTACTCAATATATGTGAGTAAGTATCACGACACAACCTACCATTATTAAATCGAGTCAACGCAGACGACTAATAGGATTGAACTATGAAATGTGAATCTTGAACTTGAAATGTGTAACCGATTAATTCAATACTAGTATAAAATGCCTAACAGTAATATATCTAAGGTCAGACACTTAAATAAAAATTACTGATTCCAATGGTTACACAATTGCAAGGTTTTGTATAGGAGCACTTGATATTGTGAATAGGTAATCCGGCTATAGAAGAAACAGACAAGATCACATTCCACATGAAAAAATTAATGCAGAATTGATTTGTTGTGAAGCAAACAATTTTATCTCCACAAACACGTTGTTGATAAGAAAGATTTTTTTTCGTACGAGCTCTATGTTTATTTATATATAAATAAAAGAAAAGCATAAGCATATTGTATGTATGTTCAGATTATGTTTTGATGTTTTAGGATGGCTTTGAGACTGTGAGTGCAGACTACAAGCACCGACTAATTGGGAAGCCACGGCAAAAATTCATACGATACCTGGATTCATTGAATAAAAGGAAAGCCAAGTCTCTACAACGTCAATGGTTTGATTGTATCATGCTTAGAATCGCTGCTGAGGACGATGAAGTCGAAGATGAACAACTCGACTATCCTAATATGAAGTAAAATTTAGATGAAAAAAATATCAAGCATAAAAAAATATCAAACATATCAGAATTCTCTCGTGATTTGGAAATATTTTTTCCTCTTTGGTACAAGACAAGTGTCCAAATACCTGTAAACAAGTAAATCTACGTTTGAAAATATGTACAGGCTATAGGCATCTGTCTTTCTCCCATCATTTGATGTCTTTCGATATATTTCAATAGTAACCATACATCATCATTCCATAGTGGAATATTCAGTGTTTCAGAGGTATTACATGTACTAGGTTTGCATATTTTTTTATAAATATCTATAATAGGCTTTCTTTTTTAAAAGCACTGATTTTAAAATGAGCAATTATCCAGAAATATATTTTTTTTAATTTTGCATGGTGACATTCTGTAGATAACCATATTTTTGCAGCATATTATTGTTTGCGAGATAGGCATTAACTCTTTATCAGCGAGAGTTTTCACGTATATAAATATTATTCTATATAATCTCAAGGAATAATGATATTTACAAAAAATTAAATTATCAGGAGCAAACTTTATCGCGTAATTACGCGAAAGTAATTTTTTAATTTTAAAATTAATTTACAAGTAAATAGTTTTCTTTTTATCTTATTCATCTTGCATAAAGGGGCATAAATATACCATGTATGGTTTCTATGATTTCTTAGATAAATTATCGTACAAGAAAATGATTATAAACTGCTTGTAATGCCGTAAAGTTAATTGGGGAGGGGGGCTCTCCTTTTGTATTATGATAATATGTTGTTAATAATAAAAGTACAGAAACAAATTCCTGTGTTTCCTATTGAAAGATATATGAAATAAAGGTATATATTGTATTCCTTTAGATTGAGAGATGCTCTATATGGTCATATGGAAACACCGAAGTACAGCGAGCAGTTGTTGGAGAGAGAAAAAGACACCATTGGAGATTATTACTACTCCCTGGAAGAAGATCTACAAGCATTTCCAGAGGACGTCGAGGGAAAGCATTGTATAGATGCATGGACAATTTTATTGGACACCAAACTGTGACATAATAAA